TGTAGATTCAAGTTTGTTCAAATCATAACCTCCCCCCCCTCCCAGGGTAGGATGGCAGACATCTTTAAAATTCCATTTACAAGACTAGCAAAGCCATGATTACCATATAACGGGTATTTTCTGCTGTTGTCCAATTTTTGCGGATAGGACAATTCCGCAAAAATTACAATCACAAAATATTTTTCAATATTTATTAAGATATTTTATACATGCAATTATGATAAGTGGTGCGTATGTCTGACAGGGTTCTCATTAATGCATAAACCTGTGTACTGGACGCAGCAAAATTATTTGGAACGCAAGGTTCTTAAAATTGATGTGTCCGCAGACTCATGAGTGACCACATCCTTGTTAGCGAGAAAATTCGGGTGTCATCGAAATTCGAAGATTTTAGATGTCAGGATTTGTCCAAAACATATTGAATCAAAACCTTCCTGTAAATAATATCAATTAAGTAAGTTGATACAAAAACATCTTTACTTGTACCTATTTCGCAATTATTAGTCCAAACTCCGATAGCTGCAAACAACACATGGTAGCTTTTCTTTTTTAAACACTTTTTTTCAGTGTTGTGTTTTATATTGAGACAATAATTACTGCTTGTATACGCAATGTGACTCGATTGTCTGGTGAATTTCACCTAACGCATACGACTGACAGGATTAGTTACGCCTCAATGCACATGACACCTGTGATTGTTAACCGTCAACTTTGGGGTACTAGATTATGCAACTGTTTGTTTTAGCTTAAATCTATATATTTAAATATTTTAATCAATTGCATAAAACGTCTGTTAGAATAAAGATTTGTATTGATGTTTTGGTGGACTGACACTGCATTAATTCATTTCAATTGGTACTCGAAATATTTTTACAAAAACTAACTAAAATGTTGTAGTTTAATTAAGCTTAATAGCTTAATACCAGTTCTCATACACCTTTGATCAATATGTCTTAATGAATTTTTAAAATGTAAACATGACAGCGTTCTGATAATTCATAAAGTTTAGTGCATGATCATACCCCGTAAATAAATTTTTGTGGTATAGTGCAACCACAGAAATTTAAAACGCAGAAATTAATATGCTACCTTTAAGGGGTTAAATCACAAAAATTTCCAACCACGGAAAATACCAGTTATACGGTAGTTATATGAATATAGAAGCATCCTCAGAAACTTATGATTCAATTTCATTTAAAACATGGCACCTTTAAGGAAAGGGTATGCCTAGAACAGACAATGAAAGCTATACAAATGAATAAATAGGAGAAGAAATCTGCTGATGAAGAACAGCAGGACCATATTGACTCAGGTGAGCATTGTGGCCCATGGGCTCTTGTCTTTGACTTTCTTTGGAAGCTGAATTTGACCTATATTTTCAAGATGAGTGAATAGGGTAAAGTTTTTGATGTAGCTCCATAATTATATGGCCTATTTATAGGGTGGGGCCACAATGGACGATCAAAGTTTTACATAGGAATATATAGAAAAAATCTTCTCAAGAACAGCAAAGCCATGATTGTTATAATGGTTATTAACTATTCGGAAGTATCCTAAGGTAGTGTAGATTCATGTTTGAAAAAAATCATGACCCCCTGGGGATAGGGTGGGACCACAATTGATGATTAAAGTTATGCATAGGAATACATAGGAAAACTTTTTAAAAATCTTCATCTCAAGATCAGGAAAGCTATGATTGGTCATAATTATATGGAAGCATCCTCAGATAGTGTAGATTCAAAATTGTTCAAACCATGACCCCTGGGGGTAGGGCAGGACCATAATGAAAGTTCAAATTTGTGGGAAAAAATGTCACAGACAAAAAAAATTTATCTTTAGTTACGCGGGTATGTTAAGGAAGCATATAAGTCAATTCTCTGGAAATTTAGACTTTTTAAAGAAAATTAAGTTTGAAAATTTACCAAAACTGCTGATAAATGTAAACTATTATTATCTATTGCATAAAGATAAAAGATTGTCTAACGCAAAGGCGTGCACCACCACCACGGCATCACGTGACTTCTATTAATAGCAAAATTTTCCTTAGTAAAAAAGCTAACAGAACAACAATACCCCGAAGTGTTATAATTTCTTTGAGTAAATAATATAGTTGGAAAACATCTATTTTGCCTAAAAGGTGCTGCTAGAATCCCACTGTCCCGTCAGTAAAATAATAATTCCACACATTCGCACGAAACCTTACCCGATGTTTTGAATTTTAGACATATAAACCGAGATTTTTCATAAAACCATGCTTAACTCGGGATTCTAGCAGCACTTTCCAAGTATTTTAGGAGGCAAACTTTCCATCTGTACAAATCTTATGTTTTGAAATATACAGCTTATTGTTGTTCTGCTGCATCATTTTTGTCACCAATGACAGAGGAAAGGCCGACCGGGACATGTATATAGCTGACTGTCTTCGAAGAGAATACAATCGATGAAAATAAATTAGCATACCTGTTTAAGTAATTGAACTCCATATGAATTTCACAAAATATTTAGGATATTTGCTTTTAAACTCCATTTTACGTATCTTTGTACATGCCGTCTTAGTCAAATTCTCTTTACACGACATGATCAATTCCCAAGTTACTTGAAGTACACCTATGACGTCATCGGTGGTAGATTTTAATCAAAATGACAGATACAGCATAACAAAATAAAAACATTTTATTTTTGTTAATGTTTACACGTTTCTATTCATTTTCTAGAGTTAAATTACATCTCTAAATACGAATATTAGGAAAACTTGTATTCTAAAATTGACGTCATCTCGCCTACTATGACGTCATAATGTAGCACTGATTAAGTCAAGGTAGAATATTTTGTATGCTTCCTTATTACCCCTGCGTAGTGTAGATTCAATTTTGTTCCCCTTTTTAGGGGTAGGTCGGGACCACTTATGCATTAAAGCTTTTCAATACTGAATTGATTTTTGCTTTTTTTCCTAGCCACAGTGCTCAGGTGAGTGATGTGACCCATGGGCCTCTTGTTTTGTAGTGCACCTGAACAGTACCATAAACTTCTGAATAATGCAATGTATTGAATATCTTCTCACTCATTTAAATGGTAGTAAGCTTTCAAAATTGTCAATAATTTGGTTGGAGTATTTGAATATATCCGAATATTCGATAAAATAAATAAGTTCTGCTTTATTTTATATATGCATTGTCCTACCCTCGGCTAGTATGTTTTGTTTCAGAATTTCGGAGTAAAATTCAGAGAGAGATTTCAAAAATTGCCTCTCTGTTTAAAATCTTTGTTCGGTGCATAATTTCTTTCCCTTAAGTCCAGTCAGCCTCAAAGTTTACTACTTGGCCACAATAGACACTCAGAGTTTTATATAGAAATATATAGGAATAAAAACTTTAAAAATCTTCTCAAGGTCAGCAAAGCCATGTTTTGTCATATTGAAATGGAAGTATTCTCCGGTATTGTAGATTCAAGTTTGTTCAAATGATGACCCTCGGGGGTAGGAAGAGGCTAGAAATAAATAGGAAAAAATCTTTTTCTCTAGAACAGCAAAGCCATGTTTAGTCATATTGATATGGAAGCATCCTCTGGTAGTGTAGATTCAAATTTGTTCAAATGATGACCCCCATGGGTAGGGAGGGGCCACAATGGGGTATCAAATTTTTACAAAGGAATATATAGGAAAAAATCTTTAGAGATCTCTGCTCAAGATCAGCAAAGCCATTTGTTATAACATAAATCTGGAAATTTTTTCATCAATTTATTTTTGCAAATCTTGGTCAAAAAGATGTTGATTAATTTTTACGTTTTAAAATTTTGTGAATTGTCATCTTTGCTAAAAATAAAAACTGCTTAAAATTTTCATAACAGTTTGTAAGTTACATATGTGCATATAAAGAATTACGCATGTACATACAATGTCCTTTTTTTGTCGGGGTTTCATTATACACGAGAGTAAGTTCTTCGTTAACAATCTGTCATACTAGGGATTCGTTGTTAGATAAAACAACTGGCCTCTCTTTCTTGGAGAAATAATTTAAAAGAGACATACTGCCTGTCAAACCATCCGGCGATATTGAATGTAGTTAAGGCACGGATTATCATGGGTAATTAGCTTGTAGTATAAACAGATTTCTTAAACTGACCACTGCTTACGATTTCTTGTTCACCGGGTTAAAAATAGACACCAGCTGTCAGCAAAATTTTTAACATTTTTCCTTGCTGATTTATTTTTAAGAAAAATATTTTTGCGAATGCAATGCATGCCCAAATTTGCTAAAATTGATATTGATATGGAAGCATCTTCACTTGGTTTAAAATTCAAGTCCCCCCCCCCCCCTCCCCTATATAAACTTTTCAATACTGAACTGATTTGTGCTTTTTCCTAGCCAATGTGCTAAGGTGAGCGATGTGGCCCATGGGCCTCTTGTATTTTCAAGTAGGATTGGAGGTAGATTTTTTCTGATTGTAGAGACAATCGAATTAGTTCATATGCAGATTTGTAACAATTAAATGTGTGTCTGACTACACATTAGGCCAATGTTGGTCCAATAGGGCCAACATTGGGCCGATGAGCAAACCGACATTGGGCCAATGTCATTTGCCAACATTGGCCCAATGTAATTAATGATGTTGGCCCAACATTGACCAAATGTCGCATTCATCGGGCCAATGTTGGTTGAAAGTGTGGTATGGGAAGAAAGGGATAATGAGGTTGGAATTGGGAAGGGAAGGATTGTAAGATAGGTTTGGAAGGGGAGTTATGGTAGGGAAAGGAATGGGGAAGTGGGATGGGATTAGAAGGGATGAGATGGGAAAGGAAAGGGTGGGAAGGGTATGGGTAGAGTGGTTAGGTGGGATGAAAGGGGAAAAGGTGGGTAGGAAGGGTTGGGATGGGAAGGGAATAGGAAAGGGTGGGATGGGAAAGGGTGGGATGGGAGGGGAAGGGTTGAATGGGAGGGGAAGGTAATGGGGATGGATAGGGGAAGGGTGGGATGAAAGGGAAAGGGTGGGATGGGAAGGGAATGGGAAAGGGTGGGATAGGGGAAGGGAATGGGCGAGGGATTGGGGAAGGGTGGGTGGGAAGGGAATGGGAAAGGGTGGGAAAGGGGAAGGGTGGGAAGGGAATGGGCGAGGGATTGGGGAAGGATGGGAAGGGAATGGGAAAGGGTGGGAGGGGATGGGAAGGGAATGGGGGAGGGATAGGGAAAGGGTGGGATGGGAAGGGAATGGGTGGGATGGGAAGGGAATGGGGAGGGGTGGGATTGGAAGGGATTGGGGAAGGGTTGGATGGGGAAGAGGTGTGGAATGGGAGTCTTTGGGAAGCGTTAAATGGTGGAGAATCCGATATTTGAAATGGTGGAGAATCCGATGTGTTAAATGGTGGAGAATCCGATCTGTGAAATGGTGGAGAATCCGATCTGTAAAATGGTGGAGAATCCGATATATGAAATGGTGGAGAATCCGATGTGTTAAATGGTGGAGAATCCGATCTGTAAAATGGTGGAGAATCCGATCTGTGAAATGGTGGAGAATCCAAGATGTAAAATGGTGGAGAATCCAAAATGTAAAATGGTGGAGAATCCGATGATGTGTATAATGGCGGAGAATCTAAGATCTAAAATGGAGGAAAATTATTTGTAAGATGGAGAATCCGATAATAAAATGGTGGAGAATGTCATATGTAGAATGTTGCCATTGACGGAGAATCTTACATGAAAGTAATGTAAATCTGATATGTAAAATGGCAGAGATTCCAACCTGAATGTGAAATATGATGAAAAAAAAGTTTGAAAACAAGAGAATTCAATTTTTCTTTTTTGTAAAGCAGACAATCAAAATAAAAAAATGTATACAACCCTATGAAAGATAGGGGTTAATTGAAAGAAGTAAAAGTGATGGGTATGGAAACAATGATAATAATATCAGAAATTATTATTGCATTGGTTCTATAGTGCATAAATAGTTCAATGATATTATGTATCCATCATTTCTTAGCATTATAGTAAAAGATAAAGTGAAGTCTTGGAGACATTGTAAATTTACTTCACGATATTTGTTATTTGTTACAAGAAATTGTTTTAATATATTTTAGAATTGGACAACAGTTTCAGTGACAATGGTGCTATGAACAACATTATCTCTGAGTAATATTCCTTGATGCCCTAATGATTGAAATAGGCATTTGTTTTACAATTAAAAACATGTATTAACAAAAAAAATGCCAATATTTCAAAATTTAAGATCTCAAAAATTTATGTTATTTGTTATTTTTATTAGCTCTTCTGAGCCAAAGGCTCAAAGAGCTATATTTGTGTGGTGTGCATAAAATGTTTAGAATATGGGCCATAACTCAAGAACCCCTTGGCCAATTATTGTCAAATTTTTCACAGGGTATCCTTGGCTCAAGGGCTCCCATAAATACTAAAACTAGGTTTGTGTCCCTTAAACAAGGGGAGATAATTAGGAAAATAGAACTGGTTGCTAAAAAATCTTCCCAAGAACCACTGGGCAGATAACATTTTATTAAAATGTTGATATTTTGTTTCCTATAAGGACTAGAATCATCAAATCTTGTCAGTTGATGCATCTAAGGACCTCATATCTTTTTGACTAAAAAGTAGGTCACGGTGACCTACTTTTTAAACATTGCGGCCATTCTTTTTCAAAATGATTTAGAGGTATATTTTGAAGAATTTAAGGCCTATGGTCATCAAATTTTGTCAGTTGATGTATCTAGGGTCCTCTGAGAAAGTCAACTAAAAAGGTAGGTCACCTTTACCTACTTTTTGAATTTTATGGCTGATCTTTTTCTAAACAATTAAGGTCATTAATTCGAATACTGTCAGGTTTAGAATCATTAAATCTTGTAAGATGATGCATCTTGGGGCCATAAAACGTATTTATTAAAAAGTAGGTCACAGTGACCTACTTTTTGAACTTTGCAGGCATTCGATTTCAAAACATTTTTGAGGCATAATTTGGACATTTTAAGGCATATAATCATAAAACTTTGTCAGTTGATGCATCTTGGGTCCTCAAAAAAAACGTGAACTGAAATGTAGGTCACCGTGACCTACTTTCCAATTTATATGATTATAATTAAATATTTCAGGTACTAAGTGGCTTAGAATCATCAAAGTTTGTCAGTTGATGCATCTTGGGTCTTCAGAATAGGTCGACTGAAAAAGTAGGTCACCATGACCTCCTTTTGAAAAATTATGGCTTTAATTAAATATTTCAGGAACTTATTGGCTTGGAATCATCAAACTTTTTCAGTTGATGCATCTTGGGTCCTCGGAGTACAACTGAAAAGTAGGTCACTGTGACCTAATTTTGAAATTTTATGGCTATATTTAATATTTTCGGATACTATTTGGCTTAGAATCATCAAAATTTGTCACCTGATGCATCTTGGGTCCTCGGAGTAGGTTGACTGAAAAGTAGGTCACCGTGACCTACTTTTGAAAATTTATGGCTTTATTAACATATTTCGAGTACTAATTGGCTTAGAATCATCAAACTTCGTCAGTTGATGCATCTTGGGTCTTCAGAGAATGACAAGTGATAAGTTGGTCACCATGACCAACTCTTAGGTACTTATTTGCTTAGAATCATCTTGGGTTCTCAGAGTGTTTCATCTAAAATGAAGGTCATGATGACTTACCTATGGAATTTCAAGGGTTTATCTAAATATACAGGATACTTAGAGGCTTCAAATAGAAGTGATAGGTTGCACAGTTTATCAGAAGAGCGATTCAAGGCCCTTGGGCCTCTTGTTAAGGATGTAAAGCATTTCCCAAGTGCTCCCTCGCTGTCAGGAGAATCTTGTGGATTTAAAATTCAGCACAAATGGTAAACCTATTGTATCATGTTATTGTAGTTACCGATATTGCACAATTTATATATATATATATATATATATATATATATATATATATATATATATATATATATATATATATATATATATATATATATATATTAGGGATGGCAACGAATATTCGAACATTCAAATATTCATTCGATGAGTTGATATTCGAATATGAATTTAAGATTCGAATATTCAATGTTTTTCAGATTTCATAAAAAGAAGTACTCTGATTAATAAATTTTGATTAGAACAGTGCTGAAATTATCCCTGTTTAATTTACTAGCGATCAATTTCGATCGCCTGATTTCTTTCACTTCTTTCTTATCTTGTAGATCTGCTAAATTACATGTATTTTGTTTTGAGTAAGGTGTTAAAGAATTGTACAATAATGCTTTATGTATAATATAAAACGTACTTTCATACTTTTGTTAGTTAGTTATGATCGGATCTAGAATCGAGGACAACAAAATGAAATCTTAGAATGTCTTAAAGGCGTGGAGTATAAATTAATTGATCATTGAATGAATGTCGGATAGAATTAGTCTGTAATTAATATTGTAAAGGACTTAATTTAAGAATTTAATAAATGTGCACTTGATTATCTAGGGTTGTACATAATCCTGAATTTTATATTCATTTTCGGGAAATTAGTTAATTACCTAGGAAAATTGTCTATGGAAATATTTGTTTACATTGTATCAAAGATTATAATCATATCTCTTATTAGGCAGATAATTGTAATTCATTACACGTATTGAAATCTGAACAGTATACCGTTACGACTATCTTGCCTTTTGTAAGACGGCTGGTTCCTCAGTTGGAGCTACATGTACTATAAATACACGTTTCATTTGTTAAAATTATATACTTTTCTACATTTAAATCAATATTATTTATTTCAAACATTGACAAATATCAAATAGAATTTCTTATTGTACACCTACAAAAGTCTTCATACAATTTTACTTCCAATATAAGTTTTCCTACGCTAAACCTTTCATGAGAGTAGGATGAAGCATATTTAAAATAAAACAGATTTTATTTATTTTACCAAGTATTCGAATATATTCGAATACTTTCATTGAATATTCGAATATGAATTAGTGATAAAATTGACATCCCTAATATATATATATATATATATATATATATATATATATATATATATATATATATATATATATATATATATATATATATATATATATATATATATATTAGTGAAAAGTTTAATAAAAATATCTACGTATACCCTCTTTCTTAATTTTAACCAAAATAATTTTTTATACTTCGTCTTCTTTGTGTTAAGTAAAAGGAAAAGCATAAAAAATATAGTCCGTTTCTTATTCAGTTTTATCCCGATATTCCAGGCAAAGTGAAGACATTTTTCTTGTCTTGGTCAACTCTTTTTGTACACAACAATACAAGGAACCCTTTTGTGTATATAATAATACCAGCTGAAGCAGCCTATATGCCATTCCTATAAATGATAACTCATAAATCGACGATTGGTTGATCGTTTTTCACACTTGAGATACTATAGTACCTGTCCTTAAAACACAGCATCTTACAAATCAATAATAATTTTAATTTTTTAATTTTATTAAATTAATTTAATGTAGGATTAGATTACACTCTATTTTGAGAATTTCACGCACCTACAGGTATAAATCTTTCTATCAAATGTTTTTACCATACGTGCAACTTCAATAGTTAGGCGAAAGGCCTACATACTAGGATTGATTGATTGATTGTATATTGTTTTACGTCCCATTCGAGAATTTTTCACTCATATAGAGACGTCACCATATACCGGTGAAGGGCTTCGAATTTTGACCTTTACTCGGCACTCAGGGCCATTGAGCAGTGAGGGATCTTTATCGTGCCAACGCCTGCCGTGACACGGGGCCTCGGTTTTTAAGGTCTCATCCGATGGACCCGCAACTTTCACTTCAAAGTGCCGAGCGCATGGCGAAGGAACAGTTGCTACCTATTTTTTATCGACTTAGGTCTGTCGCGGCCGAGATTCGAACTCACGACCTCCCGATCACGAAGCGAGCGCTCTACCGACTGAGCTACCGTGAACGGTACCTACTTACTAGGAAAAAATCTTATAAAGAACGACAGGGCCATATTTGACTCGGGTAGGCTTTGTGGCTCATGGGCTTCTGGTTAGCTCGCGTGAGCCGAAGACTCGAGTGAGTATATACTAAGAAAATCAGGGGTATGGAATGGCCAAAACGGGCGATCAAATCAAGATCATGGGGTAGGGAGAGGCCACAATGGGTGATCAACGTTTGACATAGGAATTCCGAATATACTAAAAAAAAATCTTTTTCTCAAGAACAGGAAAGCCATGTCCGATCACATTTATATAAGCATCTTCGGGTATTGTAGATTTCAGTTCGTTCAAATCTTAACTCCCTAGGGGTAGGATGCTTTGCTTCTATATATACTTTTAATAACTCTGCAATTTCCGGGGGGGGGGGGAGTTCTGGACCACCACCACCCCTCTAGATCAGTGCATGGTTTGCGAGGTCATTCAATGGACATTCATGACTCTATAGTAAATAATGCCTGCATCATGTGACTCTATTGTAGGCCTAATCCAATGCCTGAATTTGAGAAACTGTTCGGTATTTTTTTTTTAAAGTCCAGAGAAAAAAAAGCATCTAATTGAAAATCTTTCTTAATAATGAAGGGAAAAAATCAGGAAAAGG